TATTATCACTGTTATTATTATCCTTATTATTATCACTGATATTATTATCCTTATTATTATCACTGTTATTATTATCCTTATTATTATCACTGTTATTATTATCCTTATTATTATCACTGTTATTATTATCCTTATTATTATCACTGTTATTATTATCCTTATTATTATCACTGCTATTATTATCCTTATTATTATCAGTAATATCATTATCAGCATTATCTGTCTTTAGTCTCAAAATGTTTAACAATGACTTCAATAAATTTATCATGTCAGAAATGAAAACCATTATGCTCTTTCTTCCTTCATCTTCCTCCCCTCTTCCTCTGTGTCTTCCTGTCCCCTCCTCCCCCTTCCCTTCCTCTTCCCCACCCCCTTCCCTTGTGTCTTTCTGTCCCCCCTCTCCCTTTCTCTCTCCTCCTCCTCCTCCTCCCCCTCCTCACCCCCTTCCCCTGTGTCGTCCTGTCCCCCCTCTCCCTCTTGCCCCTACCCCCCCTACCCCCGAGTTCGGTCATTTATCCCGCTTAATGATAATCTTTTATCCAACTCATCCTAAAATGACTCCCTACCAAGACTTTTCTCACGCGACTGTGGTGCATTCAGAGGCGATCATGCAGAGAGGTTCGGTCTGCATGCTTCCTGAAGGCTCTGCATGTTATCCTAGCATGCATGGGAACATTGTTTACGACTTTAAAGAGAGAGAGAAAAAAATGCTTTCTTGTTAAGTGATTTTATTTGATCATTAAGAGTTGTGGGGAAAGGTGTGTGTGTGTATGTGTGTGTGTGTATGTGTGTGTGTGTGTGTGTGTGTGTGTGTGTGTGTGTGTGTGTGTGTGTGTGTGTGTGTGTGTGTGTGTGTGTGTGACAGAGGCAGAGATAGAGACAGAGACAGATTCAGGGAGGAGGAGAGGAAGAGGGAGAGGGAGGGAGGGAGAGAGAGAGAGGGAGAGAGAGAGAGAGAGAGAGAGAGAGAGAGAGAGAGAGAGAGAGAGAGAGAGAGAGAGAGAGAGAGAGAGAGAGAGACTGAGAGAGAGAGAGAGAAAGAGAGAGAGAGGGGGGGGGGCGCCAATTTTTTTTTTTTTTTTTTTTACTTTTATCTTCTTTTTTTTTTTTTTTACTTCAGCTCATATGATACGAGCTCTGACGATAAAAAGATTAAGTCAAAGCTAAAGCAAAGAAATGCTTCCGCCATATTTAGGAGGAGAATCAACTCACCGCTTTGTACTCCCACTCGTCCTCCTGCTGCTTCGGCGTTGAGGACCCCGTCTCCGTCTCCCACGAGTACTTGAAGGTCCTTCTTGACGTGGTCGATCCCAAGTCGCTGTTCCCGCTCCCTCCGCTGCCGCTCTGCCCTTTGGTCCCTCCCGCCACGACGCCGTTCATGCCCTTCGGACCTCGCACTCGGACGTTTTTTCTCTTCCTCATGGGCTCCAGGAGCTCCAGGTCGTCCACCGCCTCCTTCGGGGGGTTTGCAGGAGCGTCGCCCCACGAGTTCTTGCCGACGATCCCGAGGGAGTCGAAGGTCTTCTCGAGGTCGTTGATGTCGTCGTCGAGGGCTTCGTCCTTCTCGTTCTTCTTGTCGTCCTTCCTCCAGCCGAAGAGTCTGAAGCCCTTCTTCTCATTGTCCTTCTTCGCATTGTCTTTGTTGTTCTTCGTTCCCCCTTTCTTCTTTTTGTCGTCCTCGTTCGTTTCGTCCACGAACTCGTCGACTCTGTCTTTGTCGCTCTCGTCCTTCTTTTTGGAGAAGTGGAAAAGGCCTCTCCTCTTCCCCTCCATCTCCTCATGCCCCGAACTCTCGCCGTTCTCTACTGCAGGCGGCGCTTTCGGCTCTACGTCGGACTCGGGCGACGTGTCCCGGTCTTTCCTTCCGCTGTCGTCTGAAGCAGACTGGTCGTTGCCCCATTGCTCGCTCGAGGACGAAAACCGATCCTCTTCGTCCTCGTCAGGCTGCTGTAGCCCCTTGGCACTCCCAGCCCCCATGATTTAACGGGAGCTCCTAGTGTCCCCCCATGATTTGCCGTCTACATCCCTTTCCTGAATGAGTTGTCAGCATCGACATCGACGGATTATTCGATTCTGTGGTCTATCATGAGGCAGGCATTCTGAGTTACATTCTTTCGCTCCGACATTCGTTGTGATGCATTACATTTGAAGAAGTTCTATTTTTTTCTATTTCACTTTTTGATTACGATATCACCATTTTTTTATTCACTGTTAGAAATTCATGAACAAATCACAAACTTCATATTACACTGTATTTTTTTTTTTTTTTTTTCAAATGTCAAGCTCTATCCTTTGCCTTTGCACCTGGACGGATGTTGACGAGTTTCAACGCGGCTCCCTAGGAACACCTTGACCGAGTTTCGCTCCTGCGTTTACTTAATCACCCTCGATGAATCATTGGTAAAAGACGTCGAAAGTCTCTGCTGATACCAATCCAGCGGCCATGACCTGCAGGGGAGGAAAGGCATAGTGTTGAATGTATAATAAACAAGACAGAAAGTAGAGCATATTCCTTGTTGTTAAGGACGCTGACCACAGTGTCTTTCCTAGATTACCAAAACATAAACTAGATCAATAGTGAGTGAAGGTTCTTATCTCCTCTCTTCTTGTTAAGCCTTAGTGACCTGGTTAGCAAATCGGTGGCTTCGATTACGTTCTAATTTATTTCTATTAAAATCGCAGATACTTATAATGCCATACACCGTCCTCTCACGCACCAAGTATCTGTTTATATAACATGACCGTCAGTAATGACCCGTCGCTTATGCTCTATGTGTCCTTTGTCATAGACTCTTTGTTGACACCAGTATATCGAGTCTTTCATCTTGAGAGTTGCGATATCTAATATAGCAAGCGTTATTCTGTGACATCAGTGATCGATAACGTTAACAAAGAGAGTTGATGTTAAGAATTGATGTAAATTTTTGCTTAACAAACAAATTAAAACCATGTATTGATGCATATATATACATATATATACACACACATACACACCCCACACACCCACACCCACACCCACACACACACCCACACACACACCCACACACACACCCACACACACACAAACACACACACACACACACACACACACACACACACACACACACACACACACACATATATATATATGTATATATATATATATATATATATATATATATATATATATATATATATATATATATTTATACACACATATATATACGCTTAACGAGTCGATGCGTAAAATGAATTTATCAATAAGTAAAATCAATTACTCTATAGCCATTCATAGAGCACTCCCCCCGCATGAAACACACGCGCGCGCACACACACACACACACACACACACACACATACACACACACACACACACACACACACACACACACACACACACACACACACACACACACACACACACACACACACACACACACACACACACACACACACTCGCTCACTCACTAACAACTCAACCAAGCTTCCCTCCTCTGTGTACTTTTCGCTGAGGGCCCGAGGGCTGCCGGATAGCCACACTGGTCGATCATGGGTCGTTGTTACCCAAAGTAATTGCAGTGAATTCTTTGGCTGGCGTGTCACCTGTCTGGACGTGGAGGTGTGTGTTGTGCCTTTAGTTTGTGTATACGTATGTCGGTGAATGTTTGTTTCTACGATGAGATGTTTATGCCTGTGTGTACGTGTGTGTGTGTGTGCGTGTGTGTGTGTGTGTGTGTGTGTGTGTGTGTGTGTGTGTGTGTGTGTGTGTGTGTGTGTGTGTGTGTGTGTGTGTGTGTGTGTGTGTTTGTGTGTGTGTGTGTGTGTGTGTGTGTGTGTGTGTGTGTGTGTGTGTGTGTGTGTGTGTGTGTGTGTGTGTGTGTGTGTGTGTGTGTGTGGTGTGTGTGTGTGTGACAGAGGCAGAGATAGAGACAGAGACAGATTCAGGGGGAGGAGAGGAAGAGGAGAGGAGGGAGGGAGGGAGAGAGGAGAGAGATAGAGGAGAGAGAGAGAGAGAGAGAGAGAGAGAGAGAGAGAGAGAGAGAGAGAGAGAGAGAGAGAGAGAGAGAGAGAGAGAGAGAGAGAGAGGGGGGGGCGCCAATTTTTTTTTTTTTTTTTTTTTACTTCTTTTATCTTTTTTTTTTTTTTTTTTTTTTACTTCAGCTCATATGATACGAGCTCTGACGATAAAAAATTAAGTCAAAGCTAAAGCAAAGAAATGCTTCCGCCATATTTAGGAGGAGAATCAACTCACCGCTTTGTACTCCCACTCGTCCTCCTGCTGCTTCGGCGTTGAGGACCCCGTCTCCGTCTCCCACGAGTACTTGAAGGTCCTTCTTGACGTGGTCGATCCCAAGTCGCTGTTCCCGCTCCCTCCGCTGCCGCTCTGCCCTTTGGTCCCTCCCGCCACGACGCCGTTCATGCCCTTCGGACCTCGCACTCGGACGTTTTTTTCTCTTCCTCATGGGCTCCAGGAGCTCCAGGTCGTCCACCGCCTCCTTCGGGGGGTTTGCAGGAGCGTCGCCCCACGAGTTCTTGCCGACGATCCCGAGGGAGTCGAAGGTCTTCTCGAGGTCGTTGATGTCGTCGTCGAGGGCTTCGTCCTTCTCGTTCTTCTTGTCGTCCTTCCTCCAGCCGAAGAGTCTGAAGCCCTTCTTCTCATTGTCCTTCTTCGCATTGTCTTTGTTGTTCTTCGTTCCCCCTTTCTTCTTTTTGTCGTCCTCGTTCGTTTCGTCCACGAACTCGTCGACTCTGTCTTTGTCGCTCTCGTCCTTCTTTTTGGAGAAGTGGAAAAGGCCTCTCCTCTTCCCCTCCATCTCCTCATGCCCCGAACTCTCGCCGTTCTCTACTGCAGGCGGCGCTTTCGGCTCTACGTCGGACTCGGGCGACGTGTCCCGGTCTTTCCTTCCGCTGTCGTCTGAAGCAGACTGGTCGTTGCCCCATTGCTCGCTCGAGGACGAAAACCGATCCTCTTCGTCCTCGTCAGGCTGCTGTAGCCCCTTGGCACTCCCAGCCCCCATGAT